GTAGACTTTGCATGAATTCATCTCCTTACTTTAGGCACTGAAATAGACCTCTAGGACATATGATTTTCTTAATATAGAATATCCAGGACTCAAGTATCTTGTATGCAATTTGTCATTCCCTTTGCTTTTTTAAAAAATGTTTCAACTGACAATTGCTTTGATGCTTCCTAGCTGTTCAAATGTTAGACAGAAGGAAAGAATTAATTCTGATTCTGCTTTCTATACAACCCTTGATTTCTATACAATTCTTGATTTTACAAATTTCTGTCATATATCCCCTCAGTATTCTCTTCTCTGTCATCTACTTAATTGTTATTCATACTGAATTTATTTCATGCCTATGAATATTGTTTTGTCTGTCGGTGAACATTTCCAGGTCCACTATCTCCTTTTTTAACATGAGAAAACTAGAACTGACTGCATTATTCAAGATGTCGATGTTCCACTTTTTAACTGAATATGATATCATGGAACTATTGCCCTTTTTAATCTCTCTTTTTTTTCCCCCCCAAGTAATTACTAAAGTTCATTTTGTTTTCTTCTGCCCTAATGAGCACTGAGCCAAAATTTCTGTATCATCATTCATTGTAAGTCTGAGATCTTTGAGATTTAATTCTTGAGAAGTAACAGCCATTTCTTAGCTAACCGTTCTGCCAATCTTCCATTTTCCATTGCATGTCCTGCCTTTTAGGCTCTCCCTCCTTCATCTGACAAACTCTTATCATTTGCAGTTCTAAGATGGTAAAAAAGCACTGATAGTGCACTTATTTGGATTTGGAACTTCAATTTACAGTGATTCTTTCTTACTTTCTGACATGGATATTATGTTAGTAATGTTTGATTCCATGCTTTTTGTTAAGATAGAGCACCAACACTTCTGTAGCACTGCTAATTCTGCTTTCCATCAGACTTTTTACTCCACAGTTACAAAACCTAATTTCTAGACTTCCTTCTACAGCATTCCCAGTGTGCTTTCTGTGCTATTTATCTCATTTAAAGATGGGCATTCTAGTTTACTCAGATGACATAAATGATGTAAACATGACTCCATATATTCAAAGATAATCTGCAAAGAAAAGGAAGATTTTTCCTGAATTGCATGCTGCAATATCATTTGAAGGGATATCAAGCAACTCACCATTTAACATGAACTGATAGGCATTGTCAGAGATGGAGAAGATGTGTGGAGGGGCCTCCTGGCGCTTCTTGCCTCGGTAGGCCAACACCACCTCCGGGTTGTACACCGGCAGCCACTTGTAGGGGTTGACAGTGACGCAGAAGAGACCCGAGTAGGTCTGCGAGGAAGGGAGACAGCACGTTGGCTTCCACTTAGCCTGGCAGAGCAGTTCCTCCTAGCTACCCAGAGGAAGACTGCTGCTGCTACTTACGTAGATCATCCAGGCTGCATAACGCTCTTTGAGGTTGTACAGCACAGCGGGTTCATGGAGGTGGGTCATCATGGCCATGTCCTCGACTTTATCATACTTGGGAGGGTTCATGGGGAAGACCTGATCTTCCTTCACGGTCAGAGTCTGCCAAGGAAGAGAGACTGATATATGTCAGCTAAGAGCCCAGAGTGGGAATCAAATTCTGTTCTCAAGCCTTGTTTTTTACTCACCTCTCCTGCTTCAGACTTGACCGTGACCTTCCCTGATTCCCTGCTCTGGATTGTCCCTTTCACAAAGGATTCTTTGGGGTGGGCCACAAAGACGGATGTCTTGGCATCAAAAGGCTTGTTCTGGGCCTCGATTCTCTCCTTTTCTGACTTTCGGAGGTAAGCAGCTGCCTCCCCAAAGACAGCCATCTCAGAGTCTGGAGAAGTCATGTCTGCACTTTACTGAAGACAGTTCAGCAGAAGACTATGAGTGGGAAAGAAGACATTTTCTATCAGTTAGACAATAGTTTTCTGTGCGAGTGATGAAATTTCTTACATATGCTATCTTTCCAGTCATTTTCAATAACACCTTTTGAAAGGTAGTTTTGATTTGAACACATAAGTACTTACATCCCACTTGAGAATGAGACAGCATTCTAAATAATTTTAGTCTTCTAAGTATGAACAGAGTTTTTAATATTGATTACAATTTTGCAATATTATCATACTGGTGGGTGTTTTGCAATTTTACTATTGGTATACTGAAGAACTCAACCTAAAGCAAATCTCTCTCTTCTGTTGCCCTTAATTATCAGCAATGAGTCTCAAGAAGTCCTTCCATTGCCCAAGATCTGTGGAAAGTGAATTTACTTACTTTCACACTTTATACATCTTATCAGGCTCAGTCCAATCTTTTCTGCAATGAGTATGAATACAAAAAATGGGGCATGAATATAATAAAATTACCTCAATGTAATTGAACTAACAGTTAATAACTTACGATGTTGCCTGTCATGACATCAGAGATGCTAAGTCAGTTGCTAGTGTATTAACAAGTTGGTAATTTTCTTCTTATGTTCCATTGTATTCCAGAGATAAATTTTAAGTTAGAAATAAAAAGATGTCATAGAAATCAGATTGAAAATTCCAGCTATCAGAACGAAGCCCACCCTTCTGGTTATCAGAAGCAATCAGAATGCAATGAGATATGCAAGATAAAGAGAAATTGCTCAGTCTCAGCAATTCTACAGAACCCATACACTTACCTTGAAACTTTCAGTGAGAGCAAGGAAAATAGTCCCAACGAGATTTTATAGAATCTGGTATGCAGATGCTCTGGATTCTTCCTCTTTCTTCGGTCAAAGCATTTTTGGCCAACCTTCTTTGGCAAAGCATTGTTTGGCAGACTTACCTAAAGACATAATTGTCCTTTGATTTGAATAGATATAATTAGAAATTTTTTATATCTTACCAACTATGTGGCTATAGCTACTATAAATAATTTGACAAGACAATTAAGGAGGGAATCTCGGTCAGTTAAGGCACTTAGAGAACTTGGATGCAGGACTTATGGATTATGCTGACATATTCTGGGTCACTTTCTGATCCATCCAAGATAGATTGGTACGCACTGCTGCAACAATTTAAACTATACAATGCAGGTGGCAGCATTTATCTTCTTCACATGATGTTGTTAGGTTTATAAAGAAATACTTGAAAAATAACTGTATACCAAAACCTACAATTCATTGTGACTAAACCCAAGGTGTTTTTCTTGAAAATAGAAAACCAGAAACCTAATGTAGCTCAGATTCCTGCAGGGACAATATATCAGCTCTTGAAATGCTCATGTACAGAGTGCTTGAGATGATTTCCAGGGTCCTGAGATAAATACAGATGCTGATGGATATAATGATAATATAAAGATAGATATAAAGGTACATTATATTTAAAAGATATTAAATTTCCCAGAAAGGTGAGGTATCTAAAGACATTCTGCATGTCCCTAATGATGAACAAGGAGTTGGAAATTGTTGTGGTATCCACTATATAACATATAAGAACAAAAGGTACCTTCTGATTTTAACAGCTAAAAATCACAGCATCCCCATATCTGTAAAAAAGGAAGTGTTTTCAGTTGAGCAAAAAGGTGAAATTCCTGATTTACAGAGTTCAGCCAGAGGAAATATGTAACAACTCTTACCTAGGCTGCTTTAAGATGTGTCAGATTTAAACACGTTCTTCCCCTGGTCATTGGCATTTTGGTTATTAAAAGAGCTCAGTGGATAACATGTGGGCAGAGTTAGAAAAATGGTGCATCGATCTGATGTAATATCCAGCATCAGGCAATGTCCTGTGCTTGTAAAGCCCATTCCAGGGAGGGCTGCAGCACTGCAGTGCCCACTTTTTTGGAGCCCAAACCCAGAGCTCACTGCTGAGCTCCATGCTCAGGACATGGGAAAGCTGATGGAAACACTCTGTACCTTGCCCAGGAGGAGCCCAGAGCCAGCCAGTGGGAAATGGTGAGCGCAGGGGTGCATCTGAAGTCCTGCCTCTCTGGGGACACCAAGGGGGGCTGGCGGGGCCACCTCCCTCCAGCGGGACCCAGAGCGCAACTCTGCTCCCCAGCGTGGGGCCAGCAGACATTGCTCTGAGGGGCTCTTGCAGCTGAGTCCGCGGGGTGCTGGGGTGCCACGTGGTGTCCAGCGGCCCAGTGGCTATCGGTCCTGGCTGAGGAGGGGACAGAAAGGTCTTGGCAGCTCAGAGCCCGGGGTTAAGAAGACCGTGCAAGAAGAGCAAGGGATGGCTGAGGCCTCTCCCAGGATGGGACAGCTGGGGGCTTTCTCCCCTCAGGTTGGGGACTGAAAATCTTTGACTTCCCAGTGGCCAATGACAAAGCCTATCTTCTCAATAGACCTCTTCTGGGGTTTTGCTGTTGTGTTGTCTAGGATGTTGACCCAGCTGTGTAACAAGCAGGAGTGAGGCACATGGCCAGGCAGCTCTGGGCATGCAGTCAGCCAAGGGAACATCTAGTTTGGAAGGGAAGCAGCCAGTGAGTTGAGGTGTCTCCAGGTGTGGACAGTCACTCAGCAGTGCTTTTAGCATGGAGGGCGTGGGTATAGGAGCTGCTCTGCCCACATAAGCTAGTGTTAGAAATGAAAACATTTTTTGAAAGTGCTCTTAGACTCAGAGAATGGTAACGTTTCCTATGAGACAGCCCATAAAATGGAAAAAGAGGGATTGTTACTCACTTGCCCATCTCTGTAACTCCTTCCCCATTGCCTAAACAACACAGTAGGTCATCAAATGGAGGTTTTAGATCAGCTAGTCAATAGGGCTATGAAGTATCAAAGACAATATAACTAGTACTAAGAGCTCTACAGGACTAAAAGGAAGGACCATGCAAGTAACATGGTCTACTTGGTTGAGCAGACTAGCCCACAGAGAATGAACAAACATGTTTTAAAATCCAGGCTGTCAGATGGGGAACTGCATAGTTCACTCTCCTGGAGCTGTGCATAAGCAGATCCAAAACCTTCAGTAGCTTCTTGGAGACATCAACTCTGTTACGACAGTACTACAACTTGGACCAATTAAAGTTTTTACTTTCATATCCTGCCTTAGCTTGCAGAAGACTTTCAGAAAGGCTAGCCTTAACATAAGTTCAGAGTTCTCAAATATGCAATTAGGAATTTGCAGAAATAGTTTAGTTCCTAAGTATCCTGAAAAGAAGAAGTAGTGTTTCTTCTTCATGAGCAAGCTTAACCTTGTTCTCTATAAAGTATGGCTATGAGGACTTCACTATGCATTTTTTACTTAAATAAAATGAAGACATCAAAGCTGTTCATGTTTTGCCTAGACAAGAGATAATCAGCAGAAGAAGTATAATTGAAAATGGATAGATGCGTGCCGGAGGAGAAAAACTTAACTGAAACAAGTTTGGGGGGTTTTTAATATGTGAGTTCTTGCTCTAAAATATCTAAGAAGTATTACCAGGGAAGAAAGGAGGCATGTAGAAAGGTTATTCTCAGTTCCTTTACAAGCAGGAGAAGTGTCTCTTATCTCCTGCAGGAAGGACCTGAGCAGTGTTGGAACAATCACCAGTATGTAAGAGCATATTTCCAGGGACTGTAGTTGGTTGTAACCAGAAGACTCATGGATCACAGCTGCTATTTTGCATCACGCAGGAACTACACACTGTGTGCATCTAAATTGTCTGGCAACTAGGCTTTGCAAAAAAATAAGTCCATTTGATTTGTGGTTTAAACTTATGATGAGCACCAGAAGTTGAACATGCATTGAGTGAGATGGCTGTAACTTCAGCATAAGACTAAGGAACTAACCAGACGTAGAGTAGTGTAAGGGCATCTGCTTGAATGATTTGATGTGAACTCATATCAGCAAATTCTTCAGCCCTTTCATCTGTGTCTTGACAGAAATTTTCAGGAACTCACTGAGATACTGTGTTCCTGACACACACCCCAAAAAATGGATATTTCCTGTCTGTTCTCCTTGCTCTGGGATTACAGGTTGTGAACTCCACCCTCACAGGCAAACAAGGCCTAGAATCATCTGATTAAGAGACAAAGGAACCTTGCTTACATGGGAGCACTGGGAGATTTCCACAAGAACTGGGCTGGCTTAGAAGTGTCCATCCAGTAAATAGACTACCATCACAGTAGATCTAGAAAGCTGTTAAAATGAAGTGTTTAAGACCCTTCATAGGTCCTACATAGGCAGAAGTCTCTGGAACCAATTGCTAGTAGTGTGCAGAGTGCATATAGGTGCAGATTACTGCTCAAAAAGGAACAAGCTGTTGTTAAATGACAACTCAACTTTCAACTGAGCTCTTTTTACTGTTTGTTCTCTCAAGCTCTGCTTTATAACTGCGAGTTTAAAATATCATGGCAAGAAATTGGTATTAAAACACATTTAGGAAGATTCCAAAAAATTTCCGAAATCCGTCATATGGTTGCAGTCATAGGGGTTTGTCTTTTTCCTTAAATTTCTAATTAAAAAATTTCTTCATGTCCTGGTTTCAGCTGGGATAGAGTTAATTGTCTTCCTAGTAGCTGGTACAGTGCTATGTTTTGAGTTCAGTATGCAAAGAATGTTGATAACACTGATGTTTTCAGCTGTTGCTAAGTAGTGTTTAGACTAAAGTCAAGGATTTTTCAGCTTCTCATGCCCAGCCAGCGAGAAAGCTGGAGGGGCACAAGAAGCTGGCACAGGACACAGCCAGGGCAGCTGACCCAAAGTGGCCAATGGGGTATTCCATACCATGTGATGTCACATCTAGTATAGAAACTGGGGGGAGTGGGGGCAGGGGATCGCCGCTCGGGGACTAGCTGGGTGTCGGGCAGCAGGTGGTGAGCAATTGCACCGCACATCATTTGTACATTCCAATCCTTTTATTATTACTGTTGTCATTTTTTAGTGTTATCATTATC